TCTCCAGATGTTTGAAACCTGTCAGATGTGTCAGTTAGACTACAACTCAATTGATGAAGGACACAGGTTGGGGAATGATACTTTTGGTTCTTTTACTTTCTGATGTTACAATAAGCAGAAAAAGAGCATAGAAAAAGGGAACAATTTCACAATCATACATAAAAGCAAGTGTTTTGTCACTGTCATTTGTAACATATCAGTGTTCTATGCTAAGAAAAATATTCCAAAATGAATGCAAACTGAACATACTAAGAAAAGAACACATATACCATTAAAATAGTAGGTCAGTGCAAATACAATCCCATTAACACCAAAGATTCTTAACCCCAGAGAAGATGGAAATCTAAGGAATTATCAGTGTGTCACAACAGACAGAAACACCAGTGTCCTTGTGGGGAAGTCAAAAAAGTCAAGCACAACTGAAGCCCCACCACTTCTGTATGTACATTAAAGAGCTTCTCTCTGATCGCCACCTTGCTTTTCTTGACACCCTCCCCAGACACCACTAGATAGAACAAATTAATAAGCTTTATAAACGTATTTAAATAATGAAGTGATTGGCAGAAGTCAGCAAAGATTTCTTTAACATAAATTTGAATGATTGATAGATTGATCACATTCCTATGCTGCCAAATCTTCACAATTCATGGCAGCTTACAACTTATTAAAATATAGTAAAAAAATCCAAATAATAGTAAAACATTGAAGCACAATATCTAATAATAACAATTATAATGCCCAATAATAAAGAGAGAGTCAGTCTGCTGTAGTGGTTAAGTACTAGGCTAGAAACTGGGAGACTGTGAGTTCTAGTCCCACCTTAGGCACAAAGCAGCTAGGTGACCTTGGGTGAGTCCCTCTCTCAGCCCTAAGAAGGCAGCAATGGCAAACCACTTCCAAAAAACCTTGCAGGGAAAACTGCAGGGACTTGTCCAGGCAGTCTCGAGGAGTCAACACTGACACAAAGGCACAAAATCATCATCATCATCATCATCATCATCATCATCATCATCATCATCATCATCGGCACAATGAAAGACACAGTTGCTGGTCAATGGTGTTAGATTGGGAGAGGTTAATAGCAAGAGAGGAATCTTTCAAGGAGACTCACTATCACCGCTATAATAATGACAATGAATCTTGCCCTTCATCCACTCAGTGATGTTGACAGACTCTACTTACCAAGGAGCATAGGTGGGTGTGGAATGTTGCGAGGACACCAGACAGTTGAAGAAGAAAAAAGGGCATTGGAAGAATATCTGAAGGGCAGTGAAGAAAATGCACTGAAGCTAGTACACCATGAAGGCTTCCTGAATACCAAAGAGACCAAACTGGCTGATAAGAAAGACCAAATGAAGAACAGAACAGAGACATGGCAAGGCAAGGTATTACATGGCCAGTACACAAAAAAAACTAGCAGGCAAAGCAGATGGCTAAGAGTAGGAAAGTTGATGAAAGAGTCAGAAGGGCTAATTCTGCCTGCACAAGACCAAGTCTTAAGAATAAATGCCAGAATTGAGAAGACAGCAACAGACAGCAAATGCTGTCTCTGCAAAGAAGCTGAAGAAACAGTGGACCACCTAGTCAGATGCTCCAAGAAGATCGCACAGACTGACTACAAACAACGGCATGACAAAATAGCAACAATGGTGCATGGGAATATCTGCAAGAAATACCATTTGCCTGCAAGCAAGAACTGGT